CCATTAGTGCTGAATGACATGACTAAACAGTAAAGAGAGAACAGTTGATGTGTTAATAATGCTTAGGTAAATACCATTTGTTACTGTCACTGCTGAGGCTTTCAGAGAGATGGCACCATTCCTGGTCCTGGCCTGTCCCCTCATTGGCTCTTTCAGCAACCTGGAAAGACAGGTTTGGAGAGGGAAGGAGTCTGAAAGGGATTGGTGAGCAAGAGGAAGGAAGGGTATGGTAAAGGAACAGGGACTCTGAAAGAGACACAGAGACCAAGAGAGAGAAGGGCAGGCAGACATACAACACACATGCATGCTCACATGACACACGCATACACACAGTGAAGCAGAGGAGAGAAGACAAAAGTGATGATTAATGGGATCTTTTACTAGACTCCCGGAACACTCTGTGTCCCTTCCTCAGAAGTGAGGGACTTTTGCATCTACCATTTCTTAGCAGTGCGGACATGGTCCCTCTGGTTCCACACATCTGTTCTTCCACCAATGTCTAGGATGTGCAGTTCTTCCTCCCTGACTTGGCTGTGGCCCAGAGGGAAGATGATGTTGGCTGGATTTGAGGAATCAGCACAAGAAAGTTGCATGGTATCACCATGGAGGCCAGGAGGAAAGAGGAATGTCCCTGAAGATGTCTCTGCACTGGGGATGGAAGAGCCCTGCAATTATGAGAGGACAATGGCCAAGAAGATTCACATTGGGTGGAAGGATTTTTGAAGAGGAAAGAGGGAAGACTGTCTTCTCCTTCTACCCAAGAGCCTGGGTGACCTTGGGTTTATTCTTTAAGCTCTCTAAACTCTTATGACAAGAGTTTGTAATAAATAATCTTCCAGTTCTGGGGCAATGATTTTAACACAGATCAGATACCAAATCCTCTTTGAATCTTAGTCCCTACCGAGGGATGGTCAGGTATGCCCTTTAACACATGTTAAATTACTTGAACACACCATGTTGACTAGCTATCATTGCATTCCCATGCTAGACACTCTGAATATTAATACCTCTCTTTGGGTCATCATAAATTTGAAAATAAGTCTCTTACTTTGTTTAGTGCTTAATTATTTTCTTAATTCTTTCAAAAGAAGAAAATAGAGCATCATGATTAAGATCTAAATTCTGGTTTCAGCCAGGCAGAGGTTCAAATCTCTATAATTCTTCACCTCTCTAAACCTCAGTTTCCCAAACCTGTCTCTTGGGGTTAGAGTAAATCAAAGTGTTTTGCACAATACCTGCACATATAAACCCTTTAAAATTGTGAAATGAACAGGGACTAGAATCTGTTTGCTTGATTCCCACAACACCACTGGGAAGAAGGTATGTTCCCATGTCACTGAAGAAGAAAGTAAGGAATGGAGAAGTGACAGGTTCATAGTCTCCAGCCAGTTAGAGTTGAAGCCAGAATGAGGAAGAAAACAGCCTTTACCTCCCTTATATCATTCTGATGTTTCTTGAGGCTCACCTTTCAAGTTTCCCACACTAAACTTTGAAGGAGGGAATGAGAAGAAAGGAGGGGACTGAGGATTAATCTTGGGAACACAGACAGAGGAAGAGGAAGAGAAAGAACTGGAGAAAGAATACTCAGGAAAGCAGAAGAGCAAGAAATTCACTGGTGCAGAAAACAAGGAATTCGATTATTTTCCAAAATTAGAGGGGGTAGGACGTCACCAGTGTCAAAAATCATAAAATCAAAAGAAAGGCCTTGGAATTTGAAAATAAGCATGTTCTTTATTTGTTCAACACATGTTGATGAGGTCAGGGGGACATGTCAGGCACATCTTCATTCTGGGAACGCATTGGTCAACATGGAAGTTCCAGGCTCCTGCTCTCTGAGAGCTTGTGTTCTAGCCGGGATAAGAAATACTATAAAAGTAAATGAATGAATTTTTTTTTGGTGGGAGACCAGAGTTTTATTATTACTCAAATCAGATTCCCCAAGCATTTAAGGGTAACTTGGTGGGTAGAGGGAAGCCAGTGGGTCAGGAGTGCTGATTGGTCAGAGATAAAATCATAAGGCCTTAATAAACTGACGAATTTTTAAAAGTAATTTCAGATCCTGTAAGTTCCGTGAAGATTAAATGTGGATAATATAATATGAAGCAACGCAGGGTAAGTGTGCTGCTAAAGCAAGTGCAATCAGAAAAGGCAACGTTTTGAACTGAGACCCGAATGACAGTAATCAGCCACAGGAAGACGGGAAGTGCGTTGTCAGTAGAGGGAACAGCTACAGCAACGTTCCTGAAGCAGAAATGAGTTTGACTACGACCTCCAGCAGGGCATCGTCCGTGACTTGATGTGAACAGAGGCCAGATCATGATAGTTAATGAAGGAGAATTGACTAGTAAGGAAAGAGAGCACCTAAGGGCAGGTGACTTATGCAAGAAGTTGTTCTTGAAAAGAAGGAAGAAAGTGATGTTAGTATCATTTATAGCAGTGGGTAGTGGCATCCATTCCTATTTGGGGACCTTTCATTTCCCTTCCCATTTTGATCACCTCCCCTCAATGCCAATATTCTCAATCAAAAAAACCACATCCTTGGAACATTCATATTAATGACTGTAGGGTATTTTGGGGGTTTGGAGATAAGAATAATCAAATCCTCCCACTCTAAGGCTCCACTGACAATATCAAACCTGTTTGTACTGGCAGATACTGTCAGAGCTCCAGCAAATACAGAGTTATTTGCTTTGGATCTATATTTTTTGTTCTGTACAATTCAGGGTCACCTTTGGTTTCTAAGGCTCCCAGGATTTTATTTCACTGTTGGCTAGCTTTGCTCACTATCCTTCCCACCCTTACCCACTCTCCCAGGTCAGATTTTAGAGCAGTATTATCCAATAGAATTTTCTCTGATGATAGAAATGTTCTGTATCTGCACTGTCCAGTGTAGTAACCATTAGCCATATGTGACTGTCTGACACTTGAAAAGTGGATAGTGTGGTTAGGAACTTAAATTTTAATTTATATAATTGTAAGTAATTTAAACTTAAATTGTCACCTGGGGCTAGTGCCTAGAGTTTTGAGTAAATAATTCTAATGAATTAAAATTCAGGAGAGTTCATAGTCTTCAAAGAGTCACTTTGCAAGATCTTTATGATTACTGAGAAACGCTTCAACGCAAATAAATAATGCCCAGGTTGGGAAGTGAGGAATTTCTTCTCGAGGAGAAAAAAACAGAATATATTCAAAGCTGGCCAAGTTTGAGGTTCAGAAATATTATTAGAAAACTTATTTGGCCCAAACGTGAAAAATACTGCCTCTTCTGAGAAGTAATTTTTAGAGATTAGGAGTGTTCTAAGGGGTGCTGGTTTCATGAGATCTTCTTTGATGAAAGGTGTCCATTGTCTAATAGGCTTGAGGAAGTGGGTACAATTTTCCCCTCTTGTAGATTCACAATGTACGTTATCATAATAAAAACTCTGAGAAGTCCTACAGTAACTAACTCTGTTTAACCATGGAAACTTCTGTGTCGGTCTGTGTGTGTGTGTGTGTGTGTGTGTGTGTGTGTGTGTAAAACATTAGCATCCTGAGAAACTAGAGAAATATTACTGGTAGAACATGGACTTAGGTTGGGGATGGCAGAGAGGAAAGAGGAACTTGTGTAAACAATGCCAGATCTACCACTTATTACTAGCTGTGTGACCTTCAGAAAGTCGCTTAACTTTTCTGACCTTCATTTCCCTCATATGAAAATTGGAGATAATATCTACATATCCAGGCTTATATTAGGATTGAATATATGTAAAGAACATTATCACAATTCCTGGAACAAGTGAAATCTTCCCTGAGTCGTTAACTATTATTATTTTCATGATCATTTATGAAATTATCTGACTAAATAGCTGAGACTTTCTGGACCCAGAGAGAAATGTGCTATGAACTACTAGAGCCCACTTACTGCCTGGAAACATTTTTAATTATTATTATTATACTTAAAATTCTGGGGCACACGTACAGAACGTGCAGGTTTGTTACATAGGTATACACGTACCATGGTGGTTTGCTGCATCCATCACCACGTCATCTACATTAGGTATTTCTCCTAATGCTAGCCCTCCCCAATCCCCCCACCCCACAACGGGCCCTGGTGTGTGATGTTCCCCTCCTGTGTCCATGTGTTCTCATTTTTCAGCACCCACATATGAGTAAGAACATACAGTGTTTGGTTTTCTGTTCTTGTGTCAGTTTACTGAGAATGATGGTTTGCCTGGAAACATTTTTAAGTATTGTACTGGAGACGTGGATATGAGGGTTACCTTTTCTACTTTTCTTTACACGCAGCGCTTAATGCCTTCCTGCAATCCATTCACAAAACAACAGCCAGAGAAATCTTTTTAAACCAGAAGTTGGATCATGTTACTCCTCTAGTCTCTCCATCACATGCAAAGGGAAAGCTAGAGCCTTTTAATGGCCTCCAAGCTCTATGTGATCTCTTCCCCAGTACCTCTGCTTCACTATTTCTTACTATTGCTGGTCTACTCTGGCAAACAGACCTCCTCACTATTCCTTGGGCATGATAAGGAACACACCCACCTCAGGACCCTCTCACATCCCTTCAGTATGGATTACTCCCCCAGTTATCTCTGTTATCTGCATGGCTCCTTCCTTTAGATCCTTCAGGGCTTTACTGAAATGTTTCCTTCTTAACACCGCCTAGATTTACAGCATAACACTATTGTATTAAGTGCTCTAGCACTCCCTGCTTGTCTATATTTCTTTACTGCACATCTGATATGCTTTATTTATTTGTGTCTTTTTCTTGACTGTTTCTACTCAATACAACATAAATTTTATGAGAGCAGAGATTTTTGTCTCTTTCATCCTCTGCTATAATTTAGTGCCTAGAACAATGTCTGACACATAGTAGATGCTTGATAAATGCTTTTTGAGTAAAGTAATGCAGAAGCTGTATACGTTCTGTTGCTAGAAACTAAGTGCATTTTCTCTAAGCTCAGAGTTGAATGGCTGATTGAAGAATAAAACACACATTTCCAGGCTGGTGTCTGTGGTTTTTATTAGTGTTTCCTGGGACCCATTAAACAAACATATTTTGAAAAATATAATTGTTTCATAAAACAGGAATAGTCTGAATTTAATATAGCTTAAAGGGAAAGATTTCTGATTTTTTTTAAATAGCAGCAGTAGAGTTGTTTCCCACAAATTGTCAACCCAGGAACTAGACGGGAAGAAAAACAAGAATTATGCAGATAGCTACAGAAAGATTAATCCCAATTGAGTTAAACTTGTGAAGGCTTGTACATTTCAGAGGTTCATAAGACACAGTCTCAGCAGGAGTTTTTTTACAAATGCTCTATCTCTAGTTCCAGAAATGAATTCAGAGAAGCAACACTGAGGATAATTCAACTCTGATATTGTGATTGCTGTGATGTTCTTTCATTCATACAGTAAGTATCTGCTCAATAAGTAACTACTGAGATCTATTGCATCCTACGTAATTAGACAAGCTCCTCACACATATGGGCCCATGCCATGCACATAGTAGGCACTCAGCAAATGTTTGCTTAACTACAGAATAATAATATAATTGCCTTCCCTCTTAACTGTTTACCTTTTTCTATACTTGATACATTTGGAAAATAACATGCTTGCAAAACTAAAATCTAACGTGCATTACTAACTTTATCAAAAGATCCCTCAGTATTTTTCAAAAAGAAAAAAAATAATAAAAACCAATCCCCAAATACTAAAACTTAGTACTGCTTTACACTTAAATAGCAATTTACATCACATTAACACATTCATAATCTTCATTTGTTAAAACAGGTCAAAGGTTCATTACTGGCTTCTCATACCAGATAAGTCTCACAGTTCCAAATAAGGCAACAGAATTCGCATCCAACTTATGTTGACTTATAACCCAAAGGCCTGTTTTGGTTTCATTTCAGCGCAAGTAGAAGGCAAAATAAAGAGTCTCACAGTAAAATGTTCATAGTAGATAATATGTCCTTGAAGGTTGTGCCGTTGTGCTCTCATTCCATTGAAGAAATGATTCACATCCCAGTTATAGATATGGTCTCCCAATCAGAGGAGTCTTTCAGGAGACATTCATTCATTCATTGAACAAATATGTGTTGTGTACTTGTCTCATGCTAGGTAACAGAAAAATAATAGTGATTGATAAGACATAGTCCCTGTCCTCAAAGAGCTAACAGTCTAGCAAGGCAGGAACTTTGAGAAAAGACCAATGTGTTCAAAGGAAAACTCAACCTGGGTCTGCCCTTCTTAGATGGCACATTCAAGAAACTGTTGCTTATGTCCCTGGGAGCCAGGGCCTTGTTTAAGTCTCACCAGGTCAAATATCTAGCAGCCTCAGATGATTTGAGCCTAGTAAGGTCTTAGCAATAGATTTGGTGCCTCCAGTTCCCATCAAAACCTAATAAGAGAGAGCCCTTTAAACTCAAGCATAAAGGGAGTTTAAGGATAACATATTTAGGGGCCATGTGGACTTTCAGCACAGGTGAGCTTCTCAAGTGAGAGCTGTGTGTCCCCAAAAGAAAGGAAGGCTTATCCATGGGACTTTGCTCTCCCTTTCAACACTGTGGTGGGAGGTACTCTGTTCACACCTCAAGTTGGCATAGCTCAATTACTTTAAGTTCTCCAAGTCACAAACACCACAGAGAAAATGCTGCAAACTCAAGCCAAGACAATAGAGAGATATGCTGAGAACTTAATACTCTGGCCTTAATCAGGCACCAGGTGTCAAGAAACCTTCACTCTCAACAAACAACACTATCTGCTAATTATCCGTAGAATAGTTGTATTTGGTACACCCACATTCACTTACTCCTTAGCAAAGATTGCTCTTGAATGGAAAGGTTGAAGAAAGAGCCAAAGCCAATTTGGAAGAAGTAAGAAACTTACAGGTTTAAGGAAGGGTGAACTCAGAGAAGGATCTAGCCTCCTTAGATGATGAGCAGGCAAAGCCAGAGAAAACCACAGAGAGAGAATTGGCAGATGCCCCTAATAACATTACACAACTCAGACGCACACATACACACAAGTATTCATGTGTTATACCCATTCAAGTAACTGGATATTTAATTTATTCTATGTAATGAACAGTCAAATGCTGAGAAGACCCCATAGTTCTTTGCCCTTGCTTGGAAAGCAAGATACGTCTTTTCTGCAGGAATGTCTGAGTTGCAGAGTCAAGATCTTTGCTGTTCATTGTTCTTTTTCTCAGCTATTGCAGGAACTGTTATTTGACAACACCAAGTTAAAACTTTGCAGAAAAGACCAAGCCAGGCAGAAATAACAATGGATTTGGTTGCACCTTCAGAAGGTTATTCATGGGTGCTCCAAGATCACCACCTAGAATGGTTCTCATTATAATTAGGACAAATTTTTAATTCTTCTTACTTCTAGCCTTCTAAATATATTACAAACACCTTGCAACCTTTGAATATGAATTGCTCACCTCTGCTGGCTAAGACACTATGGTAGGTGCTCTATTAGTTGACGAAGAGCACTCCCTCTTGTAGATATGTGTCTTCATTTGCATATTATTGCTGGAGAAAGGGAGGTCGAATGGAGGAGCAAGCCAAGGACATGAGAGAGCCAGAAAGAAAAGCTGCAAAAGGTATGAGAACATTCAAATCCATTTTCAAAGTGTCTACTGATTCATGTTCTTCCCAGATTTCATGGCTCAGTGATAAGTCTCCAGGACCCCCAGAACAATTCCTCTATTGAAGAAGAAGCTTCCAACTCGTTGGTGACAATAGTGCCTGAGCTGAGTTTTCTGCTTGTCTTTTCACCCTTTCTTTATTTTCTTAGGAAAACAAACAAACAAACAAACAAACAAAAAAACATTCCTCTGAGTACAGATCTAGGCAACAAACCATTCACCAGGAGTCAGTTCACAGAAGACAGTAAACAGATAATCCAAAAGACAAGAAATTATAAGAATTAATACCTGCAAAGAGGATTTTCCCTGGAAAATCTTCTCTTAGTGTTTCCTCCTACAAAATAATTCTAACTCTGCATTGTAATTCCAGTGAAAATGTCTTCTATTATAGTTCCTGCCACATTACTATCTGACACATTACTAATCTGACATTGGCTGTCATCGGGGGTTCTGAAAAGAAGTACCTCTTGGTCCCTAACATTTAAAACATGAAGATAGGTTGAGGTTGAAGTCTTGCTTTTGCTTCATTCTAAAAGACTAAAAGACCTCACATATATTTTTCTTCTGAGTATAAACCACCATCCTCATGTTCACTGACTAACCTGGTGGTTCTCAATCAAGGGCAATTTTGTCACCAGGGAACATTTGGTGATATCTGGAAACCTTTTGGGTTGTCACAGCTGGGGAGTTTCTGGTGTCAAGTGGTTAGAGGTCATGTATGGATACTGATGAACATCTTACAATGCACAAGAAAGTCTTCACCATGAAGAATGCTCCAGCCAAAAATGTCCATTGTGTGGATTGAGAAACTTTGGACTATAGGGATACAAGAGTAAACTCTTCAGTCATTTCCATACCACTGTCTCCTTTTGCCAACTTATTTTCAATCACTTGGAACAAAAAAGAACCAAGCTGGTCTCTTTCTCTTTAATAGCTAGAAGTGAGCAGACAGGACAATTAAAGTATTTCACCAATCATCCAAGGGCGGGGGAAGGAGGACAGCCCTGGCATCAGGTAAATCATTCTTGAATATGTATAAAAACCCCACCATTATTCTTCTTGCTGATTTAAGCATTCTAAGTCACGTGATTATGCAGAGATTATAGCCAACCTTGTATTTTTGAAGTCCCCATTCTCCACTCACTGCATCCTGAGGCTCACGTTCAATTTCCCAGCATCCGTCCAGTTTGTCCTAACCATCTGAGACCCCAGAATTCAACCCAGCAACCGCGTTCACCTCCCTTGACGAAGCCATGTGGATGCTTATGTGTGGAGGTTGACCACCTTTTTCTAAATCATCTCTCATGCAAAACACTTAATGCCCTCTGATTTTTTTTTCTTTCTCTTAGCAAGAAACACAAGGCTACAAATCTTGTTACTCTTGCAGTGAAAAAGAATTCACAATAGAGGTGAAAACGTATTACAACCACATACAGCATCATAGTTCACAGAAAACTGTGTACGTTTTTTCCCCATATAGGACATACTTCAAAGTAACAAAATAATTTTTAATCAACTGTAGTGTTTCTTCTTCCCATCAGAAGTAGTTTCTTTTTCCCCTCGTGGTACATAAATATCAGAGAAAAGTAGTCTTTGAAATATTTACGTCCAGGAGTTCGTTTGTGATTATTTGGTGTGTGTTTTGGTTTGTGTCCAAAGTATTGGCAGCTTCAGTTTTCATTTTCTCTCCATCCTCGGGCATTCTTCCCAAATTTATATACCAGTCTTCGTCCATCCACACGCTCCAGAATTTCTCTTTTGTAGTAATATCTGTAACAAAGGAGATTGCATAAGGTGGCCAATCAGATGAAGGTTGGTAGGTAAATAATGGGTCATGCAGCCTTATTGTTTTCAGAGACATGACGCTCCTCACCTCATAGCTCGGCTGAGCTTTTCATAGGTCATACTGCTGTTATTCTTCTTTTTACCCCATAGCTGAGCCACAGCCTCTGATTTCAAGAACCGGAAGATGCCCTCAGATCGGTCTTCCCATTTTATTAATCCTGGGTTTTTGTCTGGATTCAAGAGGATGTCACGGATGAATTCCCACAAGTGAGTCCCTCTTGGGTCTGATGAAAAGCAGAAACGGAGGTTACTAATGGCCTAAGTCACAGCAAAGATAGGGCAGAGAGCATTGAGTGATATCATCTTTTTCTAAGTAAGAGATACTCAGTTCTCCCCTACTTCTCAGGGAAGATGGATCGCAGAATCACCAAATGTTAGATGTTAAAAAGGTATTTAAGAATAAATTAGCACAATATTTTATTTTACAAATCAGGAAACTGAGGCACAGAGAACTTAAGTGACTGGATCAGGGTCACACAGCTAACTAGTGACATAATCAAGAGTAAGGAATAGGTCTTAGGTCTCCTAAGCCAGGGGGAAGTTTCTTCTGATTATGTGAATACACAGATTGCTTGGGGTTCATTTCAACCTGTTACTTCCCCAGAGAGCAACTCTCAATCACTTTTATCTAGTACCTCAACCAATTAAATTGCTTTGACTCAGCAACTGTGCTTCAGCCAAACGCAAATCAGTAAGGCTCTAGAACGTTAACTTCCAGAATAGATGAGGGTGGTAGGGAAGCGTGTAGTCATGCCAGGATTGGAGGACCCAGTTTGAAAATGAAGCCACTACTGCAATGAGATTATCAACCAAATTCAATTTTGCTCTTACTGAATTCGTGATGTCCCACTCCCACCCCACCCACCATACTAGGGGTTGCATTAATTCAGTTTTGTGGGATGATGCAGAATAGCAGATAGTAAAGACATTCCAATTCCTTGTAATTTCTGGATTATACTATTTTTTAGGCGGGGGAGACAGGGCATCACTCTGTGGCCCAGGCTGGAGTGCAGTGGTGCAATTACAGCTCACTGCAGCCTAGGCCTCCCTGGCTCAAGCAATCCTCCTGCCTCAGCCCCCCAAATAGCTAGGACTATAGGCACGGGCCACCATGCCCAGCTAATTTTTGTATTTTTTGCAGAGATGGGGTCTTGCCATGTTTCCCAGGCTGGTCTTGAACTCCTGGGCTCAAGTGATCCAACCGCATGTCTCCCAAAATGCTGGGATTACAGGCGTGAGTCACTGCACCTGGCCTGGATTATACTATCTTGATTTCTTTCTGTGTTCCACCCACAATTCCATGTCTCTGACATTTTGTATATGTTCATAAGATTTTATTACTGGGGGACATCCAACTCCAAAGAGTTGAATCTTAAGAAAAAACAGTCATTTCTTGGAATGATAATTCCACAAAGGTAGGAGGCCAACATTCAGCAAAAAAAAAAAAAAAGGATGAAGTGTCTCAGCTATTTCTTCTTATCTCCCTCCTCTTCCCACCCTTTTCTTCTGGGAGAGATGGAAATTGCTAACCCCATGCCTGCAAGCGGTTCTTAGGCACTGGGTGTCTCAGTTTTAGAGCACATATGACAGAATGAGGAAGAAATGTCCAGTGGGGTTCAACTTTGAGAAACAGCTGCAGAGGGAGGTTCTAGAAAGTGATGCCTCTGTTTTCTCACTCTACCCTATTTGGGGTGAAGACATGAAGGCGGCAGGCAGAGGCAATATTTGCCTAAAAACTAGTGGCCTCCAGATATGCCTGATGAGATGGGAAGGCCCAAAGGCCATCTGAAAGCCACCCAACTTACTGTGCTTTTTGGTGTGGCACTTGGCAGGGGGGTCTTGCTCCTTTCTCATCTCAGGTGACTCTGCTAAGGAGAAAAATGAGAGCCTTTAGTTGATCTATTTCCTACAATTCTCCTTTTCATTCATGCATCCACTCATTTAAGCAATATTTATTGAGCTGCATGCCTGGCACTCTTTGAGTATGTGCTAGTGAACCAAACCAAACAAAGATGATAAATGCTATGGAAAAAAACGATGCAGAGTGGGAAATGGGGATAGATGTATGGACTTGAGAATAATTTGCAATTTAGTATAAAGTGGTCATAGGAGACCTCTCTGATTCCACGACCTGAAGGATATGAGGGAGACAGCCATGCAGAAAGCTTATGGAACAGCCTCCATGTGTGAAGATAGAAGTGCAAAGGCCCTGAGGTTGATGTGTGTTTGGCATGTGTGTGGCTATAAGAGGCAGAGAGGGCGGAGCTGAGGCTCTGATCTTTAAAGCCTTAAGGGACTTTTAAGGACATGACTCTGAGAAGATGAAAACCATTGAAAGATTTAGATCATTGAAAGGTTGTTTTTTTTTTTACATAATACAAAAATGTAAACATTTATAACAAAGAAAGATGGCTTTTAAGCCAGAGGAGTGCCCTTTTTTGGCATGCAAAGTTACATTTTAATCAGCCTGACAAAGGGGCCATTGAGTGGCCCAGGCTCAGTACAGAGGGCCACAGTGGACTATGGAAACACAGATTAGTTTAACAAATGACTCATTATGGCAACCCATGCGTGGGACTGTTACCAGAGAGGAGATGACGGAGGCGGACCTGGGAAATAAAAATTCTTCTCAGAAAGAAAACTAAGTGATCTAAGCTGTGTGTGTGTGTGTTTGTGTGTGTGTGTGTGTGAGAGAGAGAGAGAGAGAGAGAGAGAGTGTGTGTGTGTGTGTGTGTGTGTGTGTGAGAGAGAGAGAGAGAGAGAGAGAGAGAGAAAGAGAGAGAGAGAGAGAGTGTGTGTGTGTGTGTGTGTGTGTGTGTGTGTGTGTGTTGGGAGGACCAAAGCAGATCTTACAAAGACTCTCACACTCAAAAACCAGCCACTTTTAATACAAAGTAGTTCCTGGGCCAGCAAACCTGATCTCTTCCATGTGCCCTTCCTCACCTAGGGCCCTCTTTCCAGTGTGGCCTTCCAAGGGCATCTGGACTGACTGAAACCACATGTGAAGGGACAGGGTTCATAGCATCCATTCGATTATCAAGAGAGGCCTATTATTCAAAAAAGCTATGAACTGTTGACCATTAGTTCCAATTAAATTGGTTAAGGAAAAAAAAAAAAGCTACTGTTTATTGAGCACTTACTATGTACCAGGCACTGTACGAAGCACTTTACATGAATCACTTTATTTAATTCAAACAATAACTCTATGAGACGGGTACTAATATGATCCACAGTTTTCAGCTGTGGAGAATCTGAGAAACAGGGAGGTCAAATGACTTGTCTATGGTCACACAGCCAGAATGTGGAGCCAGGATATGAACACAGTTTGAAACCAGAAGCTTTACACATAACCACGATTCTATGTCATTTCCAGAAATGGTGGCCTGCACATAATATCCCTAGGCACATAACAGATTTCACACAAGCCTTTCCTGCCAAGAATTAGGTTCACTTCTGTAATGCTCTTGTTAGTGGCAAAGGTCATTTCAATCTGATAATTCTGTATTTCCCAACGTTCATGGACCCTTTCACCCATCTTATCACCCAGCTGGTCAAGACTCAGTGCTCCCAGCTATTTCTCCAAACGTCATGGCAGGACGAAGAGAGGGATTTAATAAGATGTGAGTAAACTAGAAACCTGTCATCCTGGTTAAGAATTTCTCTCCTGGCATTGCCACTAGCAGGGCCTGCACCTGACTTGGGTTTCTCTGAAATGTGAGAGGACAAATTCACAGGAAACACGAAGAGATTTTACTCTCCCTCCCTAGAGGTTGTAGGGTGAGGTTGCAACATCCCATCAGGATGTGACAATATTGCGACAGGTCTGGCATCCACCCCGGTTTCCAAGTGATACACCACTCTGACAGGGCCACGTTGTACTGTAGACAAAGAGTGGCATTTACCCAGCAGGCCACAAGCAAATCTCCTTTTCAAATGACATCCAGGAGGGATGCAGAGCCATTATTTGAGAGCCAGGAGTTGAATTCAGAAAAATACAAGAGTCTCTCAGTGTATTGGCCTCAATCATTGTTTGTGGGTTCCTAGTTGATCTGGAATCAGTTACTTTAGAGTTCAGGTGCCTTTGTGAATAAGATGAAAACCTTGGACCCTCCCCACAGAAAAATGCACATATATGTACACATGAAATTTTTTCAGCAATTTCAGGGGGCTGTGGCACATGTAGGAGTCCATGGACTGGAAATTTAAAGCCCCCAGACTAGATAAATCATGAGGAAATATTATTTGAGTTGTCAGTCATTTACCCAAGCTAGACTCCATCCAGCTTAGGAGCGTTCTCTTTTTTTAATTCCCAAATAAAAACCTTTTTGTCATAATAAAGGGGAATGAGCAGTCAAGGGCAAAAGAAGAATCGAATTTCTTCCAGCCCCCATGCCTATTGCAGTGTGCAGGAGTGAACTGTGGAATCACTGGCCTGCCTTACCACCGATGTCTTTTGATCTCTAACCTCGCTTTAATACGTGCCCTAGAATAAAAGTTAAGACCTTTGAAGTTAGCCATGTGGTTAAGTGATTCATTCTTATAAAATAATGGCTTGCCCTGGAGAAGTTGTCCAGCCTGGCTCTCTCTTGCTCGGCTCCCAGGCACTCCAGGCCAAGGTCTCTCCAGTCCAGGCAGGGGCAGCAACAAGCCACAGGTTTATGATGCAAGTGCGAGAGCATGACTTCAGCTAAGCTGCTTCACAAGAAGCAAAGATTAGAAGCATTTGCCTATGATTCAGCTGTGAGCCATTTCTTTACAGGATATACAAATTTCAGTGTTCTAATAGGCTGTGCCACCCTAGCTTTAGGCTCAACAAGTCAGTAGATAAACACATCAAGCCCGAGCTGGCATGACAGGCTGGAGGACTGTAGAGCAGAATAGGACACTGGCAGCGGGCATTTTATGAAATGGGCAGATGACACAGACGACAGAGAAATCAAAACAAAGCCTATTTCCCCACCTGTGTTTATCACAGAGGGCATCAGTTTACACTGAGCCTCGCCTTAGCTCAGCTGGTAACTAGCATTAAAACATAGAAAGGTACTTCACTGCATTCAGTTTCATGGGAGCTTGAAACATAAAGACTCAGGCAAATGACAAAGGCTTTTCCGGGGGTTCTGGTTCCATCCAGCAGAGACTATAAACTACTCTGAAAGAAACTGACCCATATAAGGTTGTAATTAACTAACCTACTGAAGGGCTGGCTATTACCCCAGCGAATACACCAACCCAAGAGACTGCATTGATTCTTTAGGGCCTAGGTGGTTGATCTCATTTTCCAGCCTGGGTTACAATCACAGGATAGGAATGGGGGGCTGGGGAGAACAAGGATCAGGAGGCTAAAGGAGAGCAGATTCCTGAGCCCATCTTAAGAAGGATAATTGAAAAATACAATCAGTGAACTCTGGAGAGAACGAGTTCCTTGCTGCTGCAAATGTGAAAACAGAAACTGGCCTCTAAGGCCCCTATTGATTTTGAGCTTCTAGAAGGTGTAAGTCAAGATATAGAAAAGAGGATGTCCCACCATCAGGGCAGCAGAGCTGTGGCCATGACATTTTGGTTTCCTGGGTACCTCAAGACCTACCAGCCCCTAAGGCTCAGGAAGTGGATGGTTCAGCTTCATTCTTAGCTGGAATCTTTTGCCATAAGCCAAAGACCCACCCAAAAGGATGGAAGGGTGTGGGAGGTGACACCGTAGGAAGTTGCAGAGGAACTCAGAGTGTGACTCGGGAGGTTTCCTCAGCCCTGAAACCCATGGTCTTGACTGAGTGGCAATGATTGCCACAGAAATTTTACCCTTGTTGGCTCAATTCCCCCAGAAGAGCAAATACACAGCCAAGCCTTGCCAGTGTTTGATGTATTTCCTAATTTTAACAAATACTTCAAGTGACACATAATGCTAAGGGCTATTGGGGTAAGGAGAAGTCAAGAGCTATGCTGGCCTCAGCTCTTAACCTCAATTCCAGAAGCATTTACACTGGCTCCCAGCCCCATCTCATTTAAGGGGCTTGACCCAAACAAAACCTCAAACCAAAAACTTTCATTATTTCAGTTCTCAAAAACAAAAACAAAAACAGAAAAAAAATAGGAAGCAAGGGTTGCAGACTAATTTCTTTCACAAAGACTCAATTAAATCCCAGTTCTGAAGTTGCCCCAAATTCAATTCCAGGAGAGCGGCACTATCACTTGTGAATGATGTCTAAGTGCCATTTCATAGACCCAAAGAGATCCACAAGTTTGTGCCCAGATCACCAGAAACCATGAGATCCTCTTTCAACCAATTCCCACACTGTACATGCCAATACACCTATTTGTAGGTGGGGATGGTAATCTGAAATCCCCTCTCCCAGACTCCCAACATCCCAACCTTCTCATCCAGCGTAACCTTGGTTAAGAAGCATGGATAGCCCCAGTTGCGTTCAATCTTAACCAAATGCAGCTAATACGAATGTAACTCATAAAATGCAGGTGCTCTGACTGATTAGAGCGCACTGATGAGTCATCAGAATTAGACTTAAAAACTGACAAAACAGTGTAATTGTGGGGATTCTGGAAGTTTCCACTGGCTACCCCTTCACCTAGAAACCATCACAGGGTAACAGACCTTTGAATTTCACTATGAGGTATTCTTTCTCTAAAGCCAGATGTAGTTTGTTGAAAATTAAATATAGCCTTATTTCCCATAAGTATACACAAATATGAATAATTTCATCAGCTATATTGTAAGAGTAAGTTTTCATTCAAAAGAAAGAAAAGCTTAAACAACTTTCGTTGTCACAACACTGGTATCACAAGGGCCAACATTTTGCCTAGAGGATCCCTACTGGTTATCTTCAACGTACAAATACTGCCTCAGAAGCAAACCTTGTCTAAAGGCAAGTCCATCCCTTTCCTAGCCCTTTAATGAGAAAGACTCCAGCAAGGCAGAAATGTCAGTTGTTGGTAATTCCCACCAATTCTCCCTAAGCATAGGCACACCCAGCCTCAGAGGTGATGACAACTTACCAATAGGAAGGTGACCGGTGGTTGTCATGGAGATCTGAGCCCGGCAGAAAGTTTTGCTGTCCAACAAATCTGTGTTCATGAAAGATAAGGACATTTAGAGCCCCCACTGCACCTCGTAATGAACATTGTGGCTATTAGACAAACAGAATAAGAATGCAAAGGGCCTTAAATGTCTGAGAGTTAGTTACCTACTGTGCTACCATAGTTGGTGTCATATAAATAGTTCTCATCTTTCCAGGTGTTCATAATGGAAGGGTCTATAAAAAATAGAGAAGGAGAATGGTCAGCGATCATTTTCCCCAGGGAGAAGAGGCTGTGTTTTCTAACTCACTGTTCATCAACAAGGTATAGAGGGTGGGGAGTGGTCCTCAGAGACGACGGAAAAGATTCTGCTTCAGCCACGTTACTTTCTAATAATGTTGTCTCATTTTCCTCTCAGGGTCCTCAGGAAATGGCCTCATCCATGTGTTCTATACCCATCACATTTTTAGGGAAGTGAGAGAAGTTTCAAGAGTGGGAACCTGTCCTAGACCAGTGGTTCCCGGGAATTTTCCTAACCCGGCTTGGCACTGTTTTACATTCTACTGCATAATTTCCAGAATATGTTTACCCTGGGGTGTGGTGAGGGGAAGGCCTTGTTAGGGTTAAATTGATTTAAAGGTATTATAAATTATTAATAAGCATCTTTTTCTATTAATATCTTCTTCGGAGGGTTAATGATGTTTCTTTCAGGAAGAGTTTATTCAGTCTCAGTCTTATCACAGTTTCTTAGTTGCTGAAATCCAGAGATTTGCCATCCAAGTTGGGTGACAGCCCCCTCCCTCTAGGTTTTTCCAGTTCGCTTAGAGGAAGACATAAAATTCTCAAAAAAAAAAAGGAGAAGGGGCGGACAGTGTTACTAAATCAAACAAGCACCTTTTAAGAGCGGAGCCCCATCACAGAAAGGAAGCACTCTCGTTCTCTCTCTCTCTCTTTCTTCTATGTGCTGCGGTAAGCAGAGCACGTCTCACTTTGATTGACTCTTCAGATTTCAGATTCAAGGGGAACTCCCCTCCGCCTACCCCAAATGGAGCTCAACTCCCACACAACCCCCAGATCTGGGCTGGCCTCCAACACAAGCCTTCTCTTCCTTGGCTAGCCAAAAGCTGTGAGATCTCTCACCTTGTCCTCACCAGAAACTTCCTGCTTTCTCCTCACCGCAGACCTAGGCTACCCTCAGCTCCCCTCCTTGCTAGGTTCTGACTTTTAGGGCTGGGGTGTAAGCCACTGGCTGAGTTTCATTTTGTTTTTATAGCACAAATGGTATAAAACCTGACTTACTGGCTAAGTCCTCCTGTTTACGACATAGGGATTTAGCTGGTATTTTAACTAATAGCTACGTGTTTGGACACCCCAAGCCCAATCTCTTAGGGTTACACCCTTTCTCCTTGTTGGGTCACCTTGTACACCTGTTGTTGTCTCTGAAAACAAACTGAACCACAGAGGTTTGGGGGTGTTGGCCCCTCTATGAGCTTCTTCTCCCCTCCTCCTAGGGTGGACCTTCTTCTCCACCCTTCAGCTCAGCTTTTCTGAACTGGCAACACAAGAACGTCTGGATGGTCAAGGAGGAATTATCAAGTTATTTGGGACCTCTCCAGTATTCCCTAGCTCCTCCAGTGGGGCCATCTGTCAGGTCAAGCAGGGGGGGTGCCATCCTCCCGACCAAGTCCTGCATCCGTCTCTAGGTCAAGGCCAGGTCTGTAAAGCACAGAACATCCAGGTGGCCCATCCCCTGGCCTCTGAAGAGAAGGGCAGGGCTAGCAAAGCCTAATTCACATGCTTAGCAGCTATTCCTTTTTTCTTTAATAATGGTAGGCCAGCCCACCTATAAAAGGGTAAATAACTGCATGGGCCAATTTTGGCTTCAAGTGACTCATAAATCACCCACAGGTCGAATTCTGTCCCGGGTGACTGGGACCCATCCTCAGGGAGGCCCGTGTCAAGCTTGGCTGACCCATGTGGCTCACACAGGCTCCCTGGCATGAATATGAGGAGTGACCCAGGAGCAGTAGTTGCTGCACAGTTTTAGGATGGCCCATGAACTTCGGAGGACAGTCTCCAGGAGAGAGATTTAGGACAGGGGAAAGGAAATGAAAATGAGTGTAGATGCTATGGAACTGTAGACTCTGCTCAGAGCCCAGAATTGTGTCCTTCATATAAAAACACACCTAAGGCAGGAGTTGGGTTGCAGATGCCTTTGTGCATCTCTGCAGCAGCTCTCCAGGGCCCCTAAAACTATGTTAACCACAACATCAATTCAGCATCTTGCCCCTTTATGTGAAACACACTTCCATCAAGGGAGGTGGGAGAGAAGAGGAGACATTGCCCCTCCCTCTTCTCTTTCCAAACTTGGCCAAGTCCAGTCCCCTGACACTTTGTGGTGGGGAGGCCCACCTTAGATTCTGCATTTCCTTGGCTACTAGTCTGAAGTCTGGATGATGCCATGACCTGGAGTAGGAAGCAGAGAAGTGTGGCTCCCCATAAGTCTATAAATCGGAAATAGGCGGCAGTCACTGGTGGCAAGGGGAGGAATGAGGTTCATGGTGAGGCTGGCCCATTGGAAACAGCCAGGGAAAAGGCCTCCCTGTGTTTTTTGCCAAAACACACTCCCGCATTCTCTCTTGCCCTCTCCCAACTCTCCTCCCCGGGGCTTTGCCTGTCTAGTTTGGCTCCCTTTGTCCACTACTACTCACCGGTTTGTTCGGTCTTGACAATGACATTGTGTGTGGACTGGAACAGGTCACTACTGCACTGGCCTGTGAAGGACAGATTGGGATAGTCAGAGAGGGCCCAGATGGAGCCAGAACTGGATGCTTCAATTAGGACAGAACTGGTTTCTTTGCAGAGCCTCTGCCATCCTACTACCTGGTCACCTATGTTTGTTTATGGGAGGGGGTTTCTCTGTCAGCCTCTACAAACTCAAGCCTACAGTCCCTGGCCCCAGAAAATCAGGAATCTAAGACACTACATTAGAAGCAATTATTTGATGTAGTATAGTAAAGGCATCCAGTATGGTGGAAATAGAACTTCAGAAGCCCCATTATTCCACTTCTAGATATGAAGAAGGCATGTGCCCTTCACCTTTCTGGGTCTCAGTTTCCCCATCTGCAATGAGATTAAACTAGATAAGGTCACTAGATGACTTCTAATGTGCTTGCCCATACTAAGATAGGATATGAAAATGAAAATATAGGGAAAACCATTTTAACTAGCTTGATTCCTCCTTGATTTTAAATCTAATCAAACCCATCATGACTAGATCCAATCTATGACATGTCTGGATAAAATGCAGTGATTCTTTTCTTATTTATGCCTCAGCACACGTACAAGCAGTGCACATCACATGTCCTTGTTTGCTTGCAATGCCTCTCCTATTATCATATATAAAAGCATATATATATATACATGTATGTAAATGCACAAATAAATCTGCTATATTTTTCTTCCCCAGACAGATTATAAACATCTCAGGAGCAGAAGTCATGCCTCTAACCTCTCTGATATTCAGTCTTCCCACCTGTAAAATGGGCACAATATTTACTTTGTCATAAAGTTATTAAATGAATTAATTCACTTACAGTGCCTAGTATAAGTAAATAGTCAATAAATGTAAGTTAAAGAATGTCTATAAAAAGGCAAACAACAAAAGAGTGAGAAATCCGGCTGGATGCTAGGAACTCAGAGGCTATAGCAGCATGCCGTGAGACCAAACAAGCCATGGGAGGTCAGAGACAGAAGGTCTAAGGTGGCCACAGCACCTCCCAGGCCTCCCTGCTTCAGGCCTCAATTAGGGCAAAGCTTTAAAGGAGTGGATTTAATTGTAGGTGGAGGTAAATATTTTTAATTCTTCAAGTGTAAGTCTGATCTTTCTGAAGATTCCTGAGGGTTATTAATAAAGGCTTGTTTGGTTTGATTCTAGTCAAAGAAAAATGAGCAGCCACCAATGTGAGGTGGGTGGGAAGCAGGGCGTGGCCAGGGAGCTGAGTGGCATCATCTAAAATGGCCGCCACAGCCACAAGGTCAGCTGCAAAGCCCCAGGTCCTCTTCAGTGTTGATGGCTGTTGCCAGGGTATGACTCTGGTTCACAGCCCTGGAGCTCACGCTGCCCCAGCCCTGGTTACTTGCCTAAACATGGGTTCTACCGAGAAATAAATGCCTTTTCCAAGTGCAGACAAGCCAACTCCCTGTTCCTACATATTGCTGCTTTCCAGGATGCCCATAGTTCTCAGAAGAGCTTGTTTTTTACAGCCACTGTCAGGGAAATCTTATGCCAGTGTCAAAGCCATGCTGCAAGGTCAGTTGTCCACCCTACCAGGTCTTACATGTCAGCATAGGACGTGTGCGTGCATGAATAATCTACCATTTAAGGACTACATCTGGAATGGTGCCCCATGCTGTGCTCGGGGAGCCTCAGAGAGACAACTGGGGCATAGAAATTCCAGAAACCACCACAGAAACATTCCCCATACACGTGTCTAGACCGTACGTTCTAACCATTTTTCTAAATCACAGACCTTTTGACAACCTGCTGAAATATAGTGAGTCTTTTCCCCACCCAAAAAACAAACATAGATCTAATTTTATATAACTTCTTCCCACCCTTGGGGCCCTATCTTAAGAACTTAGGTCTAGAAGATTGGTTTTGCGTGTGTGTGTGTGTGTGTGTGTGTGTGTGTGTGTGTGTGTGTGTGTGTGT